TAGCTGTATGCTCTGCTCCTCTCTGCAGCTTTGTCACACCGCGGCGAGCACGTAACTCTCACCCGAGTACACAGGGATGATCAAAGCTGACGGCCACCACTGAAAGGGAATACAAGAAATAGGATGTTTCTGTTTGCCTTTCTTTTGGTATTTCTTTGGTATTCTTTCTTTTCACCAGTTAGTGCTTCATAGAAGACTTTGTTGAGACAACTCACCTTCATTAAGGAATCATAGAATGGTTTGGGTTGGAAGGGACCTTTAAAGGCCATCTAGTCCAAGCCCCTGTGATGACTAGGGGCATCTTCAACTGGATCAGCTTGCTCAGAGCCCTGTCCAACCTGACCTTGAATCTCCTCTGACTTGTGGCAATTCAAGTGAACTTAAAATAAGGAATTACTCTTAGCAAAAAACTTGTCTCCTTCAAAACAGAGCTATGAAGCACATATTGCCTCTGCAGAGGTTTTTATACCTTTTGGACACTCTGCTCCTGCCTTTGCTGTCAGTTCAGTGCAATAATCCCTGTCTGCAGTGCCAGTTCTGCTGTGCCTGCTTGCCACCGTCTGTTTAAGTTGAAGCTCCAGGTTACAGACTGCACAGTCAGTTCAACACTCTTACTTCAGTTCCTTTACACCTCTTGGGTAAATACCATCTGATCCCCGTGGTTTGCAACTGTCTCAGCTGTGTTTTCCACACCGTCTGTTGTCAGTTCTGTCCCATAACCTTCTCTGACACCCTCCTGGAGTCTCGAAGGCAGTTTTTCCTCAGATCGTGGTGCTCAAACCTGAAGTGGAGCCATGAGCTGAGACCTGAAGAGAGCAGCAGTATTACCTGATGACTTGCAGATAGTCTTTCCTGTTATGCATCCCATTATAGTTGTTTTTTTCATAGCAGCATGATACTAGTGTCTCATCCTCAGCATGTAATCCAGTATTTCTCTGCTTCCCATTTCATCTTTTCTGATGCCTTATGTGGTTTTAAGACCCGTTTGATAACTGGTTTGCTTTAATGGTGGCAAAAGATGATGAATTGATGGGTTTGAAGATGGTTTGTTGTTTCAAAGCATGGAGACCACAATATTGATGTAACCAGCACTATATACCTGCTCTGGACTCAAAAGTGGTCCAAAAAGTCGAAAAGTGGATTGCAGTATCTGTGATATTCTTTCTTCTTCACTGGTTTTTGGCTGTTGGTTTTCTTGTGGTGGGTTGATTTTTTTTCCTCTATTTTCTTGTGGGTTTTTTTTTCCTAAAAGCAGGACCCATTTTCAAACATGGTTGGTTCTCCAATTAAAACCAGACCTGGGCCCTCTAGTCCTTAGAGCAGGACACAACATTGTAGTGAAATCATTGCTGCCCTGGTGTGAGGGAGGTTGTGAGGACCTGGAAAGGAAGGTGGCTGAGCCATGGTTGTGTCTCCCAAAGGTCTCCTGCTGGGAGCAGAGGTGCTCTCAGGCTGCATGAGGAGAATTTGCAGACAGAGGAGGAGCAAACCATCTGTGCTTCAATCGCCCTGGTGGGCTGGGCATGGTGTGTGGATGGATGGTGCCCTTGTGTGCAGGAGGACAGATGGCACACTGCTCCTCAGGTCCCACCATGACTTGCAGCACTTGCCTCTTAAAGTTTGCTGAGCACCTTTGGCTTCATAAGGCTGAACAAAGAAGGGCTGCAATGACTCCAGGGTTGGCATGTGTGGAGTTCAGCTGCCATGAGTGGATGTTTTCATGCTGTAGACATCAGGATTTGGGGTCTGGAGACCCAGGTGGACAAGCAGAGGTGTTGATGGTGGAAACTGTGCAGTCTCCTGAGGTCCTCTGAACCTCCTTGCAGGGTCTCCATGGGGCAAGCACAGCCTTGGGCTCTTCATGAGGCAAAACTGGGCCATCCTGGCGATGTAACCCAAACACACTGGGAGCAGAGCCCTTCAATGGGAGTCAGGCACCAGTTCTCTTGGCGATGCGATGCTGCCCTGCCTGCAACTTGGAGCTTTCCCAAGCGGCTGTCAGTCACCATTGCTGGCCCTGTTCTCACTCACATACAGTATTATCTCTACCCGCTGCTGCAAATTGGCTCTGAGCAATCCTTGATCTGTCAGCATCGCCTACCCACTCTCAGATGTCACCAGCCCCCGCTGCTGCCCTGCTCGGTAACGTGTCTCTCTGAAATGTAATAATTCATTAAGTTGAGATTAACTTTTTTTTCCCCTCCCCTTTCTGCCACCCCTTCCTCCTTCTAATGGACAAAAGCAATTAAGCTCCATTAGGGATCAAGTGTGTGGGAAGTGACTCCCTTGGAGACACTGCTGCAGCTGCGTGGACCTTGTCTCTGAATGTGTGTGGCACCAACTTCCTGCAAATTAATGCTCCATGGGCAAAATGGTTGGGTAGAGGCAAAATGTTGCTTGATGAGGGGGGAGGTGGAAAAGGTGACTTGAGGTTCAGCTGGTACTTCTGGCTGGTTTTCATTGTGAACATGATGATGGCTTCTCTTGCCATGCAGCAAAAGGGCACCAGCCTCAGCAGAGGAGAAGCTGGATGGGCAAGCACGAAGCAGCAAAGAGTGGCCAGATTCTCAGCTGGAGTAAAGCAGGGGAAGCATCCCAAGTGCTCCCAGTCGCAGGCAAACTGGAAGAGTTGGGGTTGTTCAGCTTGGAGAAGAGAAAGCTCTGGGAACCTTCCAGCCCCTCCCAGTGCCTAAAGGGGCTACAACAGTGCTGGAGAGGGACTTTGTGCAAGGGCAGAGAGTGATAGGACAAGGGAGAATGGCTTTAGGCTGAAGGAAGGTAGACTGGGATTAGATGTGAGGAATAAATTCTTCCCTGTGAGGGTGGTGAGGCACTGGCACAGGTTTTCCAGAGAAACTGTGGGTGCTTCATCCCTAGAAACACTCAAGACCAGGTTGGATGGGGCTCTGAGCAACCTGGTCTAATGAAAGGTGTTCCTGTCTGTGACAGGGGGGTTAGAATGAGATGGTCTTTAAAGCCTCTTCCAACCCAAATCATTCTAGGATTCTCTATCTACAGGGTCTGACTGGTCCATAGGGCAGAGATTCAGAAGCTGGGAAGACCAGAGAACCAAACCAGAGGAAGACAGGCAACTTCCCCACTAGCTCTGGCTGTAAAAAGCAGCTTCTCATTTCTTGACACCCCTAATTTGCCAACAAAGGCCATTGAGGGATGGATCATGGCACAGCCAAAATGCTCCTGCCTTTCCTCCAGCTAGGGCAAGGAGGGGTTTTGGCATGGCATGCCCAAAACTGAGTGCATTTCACTGTTAGCTGTAGGAGGTCCTTCCTTCTCCCCCGTCTCCTCCCACCCTCT